TGGTATTTATGGACAGTAATAATTAAAATGTATTATCATGTCCATTATTTAGTACAAAATAGTTATTTTACGTCACTTATGATGTCATCAAGTCTCCTGGAAATCTGCGATGCCATTTTTTTGCAGAACCGAAAACACAGCCCAACGATAGCAAGTTACTTTAAAGTGTTGAAATCACAATAAATGTCATTTTATTCGATTGCATGAACGTTTAACTGTGACAAGCAGTGAAAAGATATTGTTTAGATTATGTTTGTCATTATAAGCACGGTTGTCGATAAATACCGACATGTATGCCTCCAAGTTAAGTCATTAAATATACCTATCTAATGGAAATATCCTTATTATTGGTGTTAATTTAAGCTGTTGCTTTTTTAAAAATTTTATTAAGAAAAATAGAGATTAATTTACGCTAATAAAATAGAAATAATACCTTTATACTTCAATTTAGTATCATTTTTGTATTTCATACATATTATTTTTTACTTCTTTCAGAATGTCTGGCCAACTGTTTATTAAAAAGCGGCGTCAATATTCTCCTACAAAATTGGCAACAGCTCTTACCATGCACTTCCTCTCATTGCGCTTGACCATTGAATGAAGTTTTATTGAGTTTTTAAGTTATGCACCTGACAAAGAAAAGTAACAAAGGGCAATAACTCTGTAATTACTTTAGATAGAGTTTTTGTGCACTGCACTTCCCCTTTTTGTGCTTGACCATTGTATGAAGATGTTTTGAATTCCAACCAGTAGTTTTCATGTTATGCTCCGGACAAGGAAAAGTAACAAAGGGCAATAACTCTGTAATTAGTGAAGATGGAGTTATGGTTCTTGTGCACTGCACTTCCTCTCAATCTGCTTGATCATTGTATAAAGTTGTACTGAATTCCATCCATTAGTCTTCAAGTTATGCTCTGGACAAGGAAAATGCAACGGACAGCTGGACCGACCGACTGACTGACCAACCGACCGACCACCGAGTGACTCCTATATACCCCCCCAAACTTTGTTTCGGGGGTATAACAAGCCAGGAAAAGACTATGGTTCTATGCATTCAAGAGGCAACACCCAGAGTTACGCGAACGCCATGCAACTCTTGGCCACCAGAGAGCAATCGTTAACAAGGCAATGATTGATGGGTGGTTTGCAGGATTATTTGATTATCTGGCAAAAGAAATACCAGATCACGAGGTTTTAAAGAATGACCCACGTCGCATATTCAATGCGGAAGAGAGTGGTTTGCCTCTTTGTTTCAAAACGGGAAATGTTCTCGCCAAAAAAAGATGCTTGTCACGTATATAATGCAACTACCAGCAACAAAACACAACTTACGGTCTTGGTATATTTTAACGCTTTTGGCTACTATGTTCCGCCATTCTTTGTATTTGTGCGGCTACGAGACACTGGTATTCATCAGTTTCCAGAAGCAATTTATGGCAACAGTGCTAATGGCTGGATAGACACAGACTTATTTGATGCATTCCTGCAGCACTTTTCTGCTTTCATTGATGCTAAATATATCAATAAACCAGTTCTCTTGTTTGTGGACGGACAATCCACACACGTATCTCGTGCTTCAGCAATATTCTGCGCTAACAACGGGATAATATTATATTGTCTTTTGCCAAACGCAACGCATATTTTGCAACCATGCGATTTCAGTTTCTTCACACCCATGAAATCGTCCTGTAAAAAGGCAAGTGAAACTTTCGCAACTTGACCACATTGGAGAAGCCCTTATAAAAAAGAATTTCCCGCGAGTGTTTAAATCCACGTGGGACTCTGTCACCACTTTTGGCAATGCTGCCCATGGTTTTCGACGTTCAGGATTATTTACGTTGAAACCCAATGGCATAGACATTTCTTAATTGAAGTCAAGGGTAGCTAATCCTTCCTGCACCGCCGGCGGAGATGCTGCAACAGTTCCCACAACCACTGTAACAAGTACCACAAGTGAAACTTGCCCAGCTGCCTCTTCTGCAAATAGCTTAGCTACAGATAATTACAAAACTGCGTTTATTAATCGTTTATCTTCTGTTCACTTACCAAACACAGTTTCTTGTAGGCAAAATTTTGTTCCGCCAGCCTTTCAGTGCCTAACTTCCAGAGCCAAAGCAACGGAAGGTAGTAAATCGATTTTCAGAAAAATTACCTAAGACTATTTCTGGATCTGCGGCTCTGAAAATGTTCGAGGAAAGAGAGGCTATAAAGGCCATCAAATTGGTTGAAAAGTTTAAAAGAAAAGAAGAAAAAGAAAAGAAAAAACTAGAGAAGGAGAAAATGAAAGAAGAAAAAAGATTAAAAAGAGAAGAAACCAAACAAAAAGGAAGGTGGAAAAAAAATCTTAAACAAAAACAGAAACGTTCAAGAAGAGACAGTAGTAGTTCATCAGAGAGTGATACAGTACGAGTGCAGTTCATGGATTCTGATGATGCCTTTGATGAATCTAAACACTGCCCTGGATGTAAAACACCAGGGAGCGTTGATGATGATAATGAATGGGTCAAGTGCCAAAAATGCCCAAGACAGTGGCATGTGCTTCTTGAAATTCCAGCAAATCAGCTTGCAAACTATCCTTTCTATCGCGAGTACTGCATTTAAAGGGACAATTATAACGAAATAAAGTAATGTTACTTACATGCTCTCACAGATCATTATGAGTAATGAAATAAACTAATAGATCATTATGAGTAATGAAATAAAGTAAATGTTATGATAATTTTTCAGGTTTTATATGTATATTTTTTTTTTAATTTACTTCACCTGTCGATAAATGCCTACAGTTGTCGGTAACTGCCCCTCATAGTCTTGGTACTTTTAGAACGTTATTGCATTAAATAAAGAAAGTAAGTATACAAACATAAGAATTTTTTTACACTAAAGCATCTAAAATAAACTTTGGGTCTATACGGGAAATTAGTTTTATTTATTATCAAATGATACTAAACCTGTTGATGATATCCTAAATGCTCGACAAGATAATGTTTCATGTAAAAAAACCTAAGCTTTAGCTCTTGTAGTTTTAGAGATGAGTTTTTATGATATGCATAAAATTAAAATCTGGTTTCCCCTGGAGTGGATCCAATTTTGACCCAATGGCTGTAATTTGAACAATTTTTGTGCAGGTCCACCTGACATACCAAATATCTAAGAAGAAGCCTGTATAGTATATCCTAGGTAACATTTCAATTCCATTGAGATATTCAAGCTATATATATATTGTATATACATGTACTTGTTGAGTCACTTGAAGTAAAAAAAAATTACAGATTTAAGCCCCAGTAACATTAGCGCTTACGACCAGTGAAGACCAGTTCACGATCACCAGTGACCTCTGGTCGCGGACAATCTTTAAAACGTCTTACGACGTTCGTCGGTGATCTTAGACAGTCGCAGGTTATCTTATTTAGGTCCCACGACCAATTTCAGTCGTAGAGAGGTATTTGAGCTTGCACAAAAACCTCCCTGCGATCAAACAGGTCGCTAGTGATCTTAAAAGGTATTAGGCTGTTGCACGATCGTCGTTCGGAAGTGCGACAATTTAACGACAGTCTTTACAAATTGCCACTAGTCACTGATAATCTTGAGTAACCTTGAGTTATCGTGCGATGGTCGTAGGACAATTTGTAGGTGATTGCATGACAGGTCACGGGTAGTCGTAAGTAATCCCACATAATCTTGAAACCATCGTACGTTTGCTTATGACCTGTCGTGCGATTATCAATGATGACTTGTCTTACGATAGTCGCAGAAGTAAATTTATCTGTGCAAAAATGGTTTTGGTCGCAGACAATCGCTGATGAGCGTCAGTTTTACAAGTCGCCGGTGGTCGCAAGTAATCGTAACCTCTAGTGTGACTCTAGTTTTTTTTCTTTTTATTGATATAAAAAATTTTGATTCATTAAATCATCATAAATTCAAAGATAATAATTGGATTTTTTTTTTATTTTCTTGGTGTGAATGCAAAACTTTATCTTATTAAAGGGAGGTAATTAATCCAGAATTGAATGCTTTGTAAGGCATATATGTATATTAGCCTGTATAAAATGAGTGACCAAAGGGCAGGTCCACATTTTATTCAAGGTTCCTCAATTTCATAACTTAAGTAGAGAATCCATAAGACAATTCTACATGTCAAATATCTAAACTCTGGATGTTTTAGGTTTGCAAAAGAAGTCTTAAATGAATTTCCCTGTATAAGTCTATGTAAACTAAGTGAGTCCTTGGGTGGAGCCTATTTTAACCCCAGAGCTTTAATTTTAACAAAATTGGTAGAGGTCAACTAGACAATGTTTCATACCAAATATCTAAGCTTAAGCCTCTTTAGTATAATAGAAGAAGTTTTTTTTTTGTTTTTTTACTACAATGTATATAGCAATTATTTGAAGACACTTTGTAAACACCCACTAGAAGATGTTTCATGCTAAATATCTAAGCTCTAGCTCTTTTTTTTAACAATAAGATTTTTTTGTTTTAACAAGACACACATATAACGAAAATCAATGACTTCCTGGGGCAGAGTCAATTTTTACAAAGGGCTTTTATTTAAACAAACTTGGTAAACACCCACATGCAAAATATATAAGCTCTAGCTCTTTCATTGTTTTACAAGATTTTTTTTTACTTTATATACATAATAGGAAAATCAATGAACCTCCTCAGACTGGGCCAAAAATTTTGATTGTGCATGCTACTTTTGCTGTGGTTTTTCATGAAATCCATTCTACAGTCATTCGCATTGTACCTATGCTCTGGCATGTATAGAAGTTCCCTATTCTCTGACATGTACAGCAGTTCCTTGCAAAAGAGAAGGCAACTAGAACCGGTAAACAAACTGCTTAAAAGCCTGCCCAAGAACAATGCAGTGGCTCAACTGTGCTCTGGTAAATTCAAAGTGGCTTACTGCTGTGATCCAAAGTGTAAACTACCACCCATTCCTTTTGTATGATAATAAAAACTTAAAAAAATTATTTTTCTATTATCTGCTCATTTTCACTCACCTGACATATTCATCTGAACCACTTTCTAGACACAAATTATTCTTCTCCTTATCTTTGATAACACTGGATGTTGTTTCATCACTTAACTTTCTTGGTGTATTGGTCACTGTTCTTTGTTCAGCTTTTAACTGATTACAAGTCAAAATTGCCTCCTTAACTTTATCTTTCTTACATCTATCAATGTCACTAGCCTGAAAATAAATCTTATTGTGTTCATTCAAAAATGTATGATTTAAAAAAAAACAGTTCTTACCAATTCATTTATACATTAATAAAACAAGATTGCATTTGAAAAAAATGCTATGCCACCGCATTAATACAACACTAAATAGTAGTGTAGGGACAGATCTTTTTGTTTCTATTCAATTGAAGATTGTCATAATGCATAGATCCCCGACCTATCTAATTCTTATTATCAGATTTGTGGTTAAATCTATTGTTATTCAAATAAAAGGTCAGAGTAGAAATATATCATTGCAGTTGAGTCTAGTGAATTTGGTGGTGAAGGTCATATTTCAGCCTAAATTTCATGACTACATTAAAGGACAACAGAGTAAGACACTTTGTCAAAATCTAGGTCAGCTGATATCAAAGTTCACTTTACATCTTAATCTGTGCACATGGTTCAAATTTCATAGCTGTACATCAAAAGACGAGAATGTAGGTCACATCAGCAAAATCTAGGTCACCTGATATCAAGTTCAAGTTTACAACTAAAACTGTGCACATGGTCAAAATTTCATTGCTGTACATCAAAGGACAAGAAAGTAGGTCACTGTCCCCTTGGGCAAGGCAAAATTTTGACCAAAGGGTTTAATTCAAAACAATCTTGATACAGATCCACCAACAATATTTCATGTCAAATATCTAAGCTGTAGCTTTCTCAAATTCAGAAAACATTTGTTTTAGTTTCTGTTTTTACTAAGTGTACATAATGAGAATCAATGCCCCCGGGCAGGGAAAATTTTGACACCAGGGGAAAAATTTGAACAACTTTGACAGAGGACCTATAGATGAAATAATATAGCAAACATCAAAGCTCTATGCCTTGTGACAAATTTTTTTAAATTTTTTTTACTATATGTACATAATGAAAATCAATGACCCCCCGGGCGGGACCAATTTTGACCCCAGGGCTATAATTTGAACAATCTTGGTAGAGGTTCACTTTGCAAAGTCTCATACCAAATATACAACCTCTAGCCTTTGTCAATTCAAAGAAGAAAATTTTTTACTTTATACATATATGGAAAACTATCGCCTCTGGGGCAGGGCAATTTTAACACTAGGGGCATAATTAAAACAACTTTAGTAGAGGACCCATAGATGATATTATATATCAAGTATCAAAGCTCTAAGCTTTGTACCTTCAGACAAAAAGATTTTTTTAATTTTTTACTATATGTCCATAGTGAAAATCAATGACCCAAGGGGGTTGGGCCAATTTTGACCCCAGGGCTATAATTTGTACATTCATGCTAGAGGTTCACTACACAATGTTTCATGCAAAATATCTAACCTCTAGCCTTTGTCAATTTAGAGAAGACGATTTTTTAAGTTTTTACTATATACATTTAAGGAAAATCTATGACCCCTGGGGCGGGGCTAATTTTGACACTAGAGGCAAAATTTGAACAACTTTGGTAGAGTACCTATAGGTGTACCTATAGATGATATCATATAACAAATATTAAAGCTCTAAGTCTTGTACCTTCAGGCAATAAGATTTTTTGATTTTTTACTACAGTCGAACTGTGTTCGCTCGAACTCGGAGGGCCTGTGCAAATTAGTTCGAGAGATCGGTAGTTCGAGCCAACCAAGGTTGAACTATAATTACGTTGATCATAGGCCTAAAGGTTTTCTAGCTCAAACCGGTGGAATGATAAATACGGCAATATAATTGTTTGTTAATACATCTGTTCGTCGAATATGTCATATTCAAAATTATTTTCCCAGTATTTTCAATTAAATATGGTAATCTATATTCATGCATTTTATAATTGGTTGAGTTCGATTGGGCAATCAGACCAAACTTGTTGAACAATGTTCAAAATATATTTATATGCTTATTATGGGATGAATTTTATTTTAAAAAATGAATTAATAAATAGTTTAAAAAAAACGTTTACAGCAGCATCTATTTGTAGTCATTTACTAAAATATAAACACGTACAAGTATCATTCTATATATAGATAGCACTATTACAATTCACGTTACATGAACCACGATTGTAATTAAAGCCGTCCATGTAAACGTCATTCTTTATTGACTTTTGCATATTTAATTTATTTCACGAGTTATTTTCTTTTTATAGTTACCATAAAATGGCAAATCAACAATATTATCATAACAAACGAATCCGTTACAACACCTCTTATTTTGTTTCAATTAACCTTAATTACCTTTGTCACGATCACTAGGTGTTAAAAACATGTGTCGTTGACTGTCATTTATTTAGGACATGTCGACTTGACTTTTTTTGTTCGACCGAAAAGGTGTGATTTTCACTATATTTCTGCCGAAGGGACCAGAGATCAGGTTCGAGAGTTCGAGCGATTGGTGTTCAAGCGATTCGAGGTAGAACAATATCTATTATATAGGAATTTTGCCGGGACTGGGCGATGAGTTCGAGCGAAGGGAGGTATTCGAGCGATCTGAGTTCGAACGAACAAAGTTTAACTGTATATGTACATAGTGAAAATCGATGATCCCCGGGGCCGGGCCAATTTTGACCCCAGGGCTATTATTTGAACAATCTTGCTAGAGGTTTAGTACACAATGATTCATGCAAAATATCTAACCTCTAGCATTTGTCCATTGCTAGAAAAAAATTTTTTAAGATTTACTATATACCTATAAGGAAAACCTAAGACTTCAGGGCGGGGCTGATTTTGACACTAGAGGAAAAATTTGAACAAGTTTGGTAGAGTACCTATAGACGATATCACATACCAAATATCAAACCTCTAAGCCTTGTACCTTCAGACAAGAAGGTATTTTAAGTTTTTACTATATGTACATATAGTGAAAATCAAGACCCCGGGCGGGGCCGATTTTGACCCCATAGCTATAATTTAAACAATCTTTGTAGAAGTCTACCAGACAATGCCTTATGCAAAATATCTAAGCTCTATACCTTTTGGGTCTCTACAAGAAGATTTTTTAAATTTATTCTTATAATTCCTTTTTGTTGCCATGGCAACCAGATTTCTGCATGGAATGAAATTCTTTGAACAAATTTGGAAGCCCTTCACCTGCCAAGTTTGGTCGAAATTGGACTAGTGGTTTTTTAAGTTCACTATATAATCTATAGACCACACGCACGCACGCACACACACAGACAGGTAAATCGCTATATGCCACTGCATAGCAGAAGTTTCAATATTGTGGTCCAAATGGAACTTAAGTTATGCCCCAAAAACTGCTCAAGAAACTGTTTTCAATTTCTAAAAACTGTTTTCAATTTCTAAGTAATAGTGACCTTGACCTTTGACCTTGTGACCACAATATCAATAGGGGTCTTTTACCCAAAATGGACAATCATCCTATTAAGTATGAATATTGTGGGCCAAATGAAACTAAAGTTATGCTCAAGAAACTGTTTTTAATTTCTAAGTAATAGTGATCTTGACCTTTGACCTTGTGACCCTAAAATCGATTGGGGTTTTCTACCCAATATGGACAATCATCCTATGAAGTTTGAACACTGTGGGCCACATAGAACTTAAGTTATGCTCCAGAAACTGTTTTTAGTTTTAAGGTCATAGTGACCCTGACCTTTGACCTTGTGACCCCAAAATCAATGGGGGTCTTCTACCCAAAATGGACAATCATCCTATGGAGTTTGAACACTGTGGGCCAAATGGAACTTAAGTTATGCTCCGGAAACTGTTTTCAGTTTTAAGGTAATAGTGACCTTGACCTTTGACCTTGTGACCCCAAAATCAATAGGGGTCTTCTACCCAATATGGACAATCATCCTATGAAGTTTGAACACTGTTGGCCAAATGGAACTTGAGTTATGCTCCAGAAACTGTTTTTAGTTTTAAGGTCATAGTGACCTTGACCTTTGACCTTGTGACCCTAAAATCGATTGGGGTCTTCTACCCAATATGGACAATCATCCTATAAAGTTTGAACACTGTGGGCCAAATGGAACTTAAGTTATGCTCCGGAAACTGTTTTCAGTTTTAAGGTCATAGTGACCTTGACCTTTGATTTGTGACCCCAAAATCAATAGGGGTCTTCTACCCAATATAGACAATCATCCTATGAAGTTTGAACACTGTGGGCCAAATGGAACTTAAGTTATGCTCCGGAAACTGTTTTCAGTTTTAAGGCCATAGTGACCTTGACCTTTGACCTTGTAACCCCAAAATCAATAGGGGTATTCAACCCAATATGGACAATCATCCTATGAAGTTTGAATATTGTTGGCCAAATGGAACTTAAGTTATGCTCCGGAAACCAAATTGCTAACTGACGGACGGACAGACGCCAGGGGGTATAACATAATATGCCTGAAATTCTTTAGGGCATATAAAAACAAGAACGTGTTTATGACACACAAATGCCCCTTGTCAGTAATAATATTTTTCAAGAGCTGTCGGTAGGACAGCACGCTCAACTATTCTTAGTGCTTGGTAGTAAAAGAACTTTGATAATGTAAAATTTTCTAAGTTCACAAAAAGGCATTATTTTTTTCAAATCCATGTTACAGTTATAGCCCTTGGAGCGAGTCTTATTATTCTCTCAAAGAAGTGTATAAATAATTTACTTGTTTCAAAGCAAGATGTCAATGAAATATGAAAATATCTCAGGTGGTATGCAAACTTTAACATAAATTCTAAGTCTAAAAGGGGCCTAATTCTGTCAAAATGCTTGATAGTTACCTCCTCCTGTCTACAGGTTGGGGTCACGATGGTGAATAAGTGTGCAAAGTTTCAAAGCCATTAGTCAATGGACTTTGAAAATATTTGAGGTGGTATGGATACCTTAACATAAATTCTTGGTCAAACAAGAGGGCCATAATGGCCCTAAGTTGCTCAGCAGTTACAACTGTTTTCTAGTGTTAGAAAATATTTTTTAAAGAACTTGTCAAAAGGCAAGTCAAGCTTAACTTCACCTTGGGCTTCTAGTTATATAGTTTCACAACAATGATTGTGTTGTATTTTTTCTTCATATAAACAA